AAAAAGCTTTGCACTCCGTGCTGGAGGCTCCAGCTGATGCTGTATAAAAGCAGGCTGTAATTCAGAGTGACATTTATACTTGTGCTGGCTCAGCTCATACTTATATTTCTTGACAAAGCACTGCCTCTGATTCTCAGGGCATTGTACACACAAGTTCTGTCTTTGGTGAGGAATCTCTGTGGCCTGCAACTTAAAAATGATGTTTTCATTCTACTCAGGAAACAGTATAAACCATACCAAACTGAGAAACCAGTGTTATGTTTTTTTATTTATGGACATGTGTAGATATGTGAGTTTGTCACTGAATTTTATCAAAGACAAAAAATTATCTAGATATGTCACTGTGTTTTGGGGAAGGTGAAGCCTGGATTTTGAGGGGAAAAAAGAAAAAGACTAGTTTCCAAGGTGATGGAGAAAATCTACAGTAAATTTGACCTCAGTATCTTAACAAAAATACTGTATGTATGTGTCTCCAAACAAAGCAGAATCAGGCCCACAAAAGTCATCAGTAGAAAAATATTAGGGCAAGTAGATGGATTTATTTACAAATAAGTGAATGTAAGGTCCTGGAGGAGAAAGGAAAGCAAACTTTTGAGCCAAGACGTGATTTGAAAGTGTAAGATACATGTCAAGTTGTGTGAAAACTCCCCTCACTTTACAATATATGATCCTGGAAGAGAGAATTTAGCTAATTTCGGTGGATAGCAGGTTGATCATGTGCTGTGATCAGTAAATCAAAATATAAAGCAGTGGTTCAAAACTCTAAGGGATTTGCTATAAGAAGGGATAATGTCCACATTTCACAAAGTGCCTCTTCTAGTGGATCCAAGATAACCTGTGTTCAGCGCAGCTGTGACAGAACATCCATCTCTCCCTGTTTTTCTGTACAACTCATGCTTTTCAGAGTGAAAAATACAAGCCTGCAGAATGCAGTAGCTGGATTAGTAGAATTACATATGAATATTTCCTCTAAAAAGCAGATCTCTTATCATTTTGATTTTCCTGCATAAATGAATCAGTGTGTGTTTTTCATGTTGGACCAAACCATCCACCTGTCTTGGCCCTGATCAGATGGTATTGCACTTGTGGGAAGGCACCCAGAATCTTCAGAAAATGTGATACGGACAAAAACTGTCTGGATCCTCGTGGAAAAGAATGTTCCTGATTGCACTTGTATAATTTTCCTGTGTGTTTCTTCAAAGCTAAGGATACAAACAATCCCCTCAAGGAGCCTTATGAGAATGTTAGTCATGTTACTGTTGAAAAAAACAAGCTGAAGAAGAGTTAAGGGAAGCCAGAAGTTGCTTCTTATAAAAATCTGAAAAAGTTTCAGGTTTTGCTGGCTTAAGTAGAAAATAATTATTTTATTGACTTATTTATTGAAGTAAGTGCAGGGCATCTACTGGCCTTCCTCTGCTACTTCCAGTGAACTTGAGGTTGCAGCATTGTCATTCACATGATAAGGATATTTTGTTTTTTCATTGAAGAAGGACAAATTAGGAACAAATCAAAGGTATTTATGATCTCATGCAAGTGCATTGCAGGAAGGGATGAAGAATCTGATATCATATCCCTTTTTTTGTGTGCTACTTCATTAAACAGACCAAGCTTGGGCCAGGCTTCATATGAGTGATGTACCTCCTCATCTATCTGTGTGTGCATCTAAGATCATGCCATAAAGCAGTGCTGGTCCATCTACTTGACCACTTACAGATCCTTCCTAAAACATCTCCTGGCCACTATGCCAGCAGCAATGGGAAAAGATGAAAACAGAAGGGAACTGAGCAGTGAAGGTGACCAACTTTGACATGGACATATTGGAGTGAGTCCGCTAACCTGACTGGGGGATTGGAACATCCAACACACAAGGAACAGGGATTTTTCAGCCTTGAGAGGAGGTTTCAGAGTGGAATCAATGTGTATAAATGTGTATCGACATGTATAAATACCAATTGGAAGGGGGTGAGAAAATGGAGCCAAACTCTTCTCAGTGGGATGTGGTGAAAGGAAAAGAGGGAACAGGTACAAACTGAAATACGTGAAATTACTTTTAAATGTGAGAAAAAAACCCACATTTTTACTGTGCATGTGTTATACATTAGAACAGGTTGCCCAGAGGTTGTGTACTCTATCTTTAGAGACGTTCAAAACTCTGTTTGGCACAGCCCTGAGCAATCTGCTTTAGCTGACCCTGTTCTGAGTGGGGAGACTGGACCACTCCATTCCAACTTGAACAATTCTTCTGTGAATCTATGAGATCCATTATGGATACCTTAAAAAAAAAACAAAAAAAACAACCCTAACTAACTCCAATCTTACCTATTCAGTAGTGTACAGGAGCATAGCACTTCATAAATTTCTGAACTATGACCCTACCATACAAGTAGCTTGACTCATATGTAGCATTTCCTCGTGTCTCAGAGGTTTAAGTAGATGATGACAGATAAGCATGTAACAGTATCTTAGAATCTGCCCCAGAGCCCATCTACAGTGTATTCCTCCTTTGCCCGTTTTCTGGGCAGTAGCTTGACTTGGATGTGAGTGGGCTTCACAAATGGATCTAACAGGTATCTGCACCAGCTAAGTCTGGACAGGGCGTGGGTGCTGGTCCTCACTGAGTGAGGTTTGTATACATCCCCAGCTTAGATCTCTTAGCAATCTCCTTTCTGTGGAGTACTGCACCAAGTCCTGCTACTGTAGACCATGAAACTAGTGTTTAGGAAGTCTCTTAAACCTTCTTAAGCAGCTGCTGGTGCAACATAGTAGGAGAAGAAACAGAGTTTCTTAGTTGCTTTCAAAGAACTCTAGTAAAGACCTTTGATAAAGGCCCCTTTCCCTTGTTGAAGTTTTCCCCTGAATTTCCATAGCCTTTTAAGTAGGGCAGCATCTCCCTTTGTCCTTTTCCCCACACGGCACAGGTAAAACCTCGTTCCTTGCACGGGCTCTCCCCTGTGCCAGATGCATGGCCTGCATAAACTCTACGCTGTTGGCTTTTGTCACATTCCCCCACCTCCGGGCAGGGAAGAAGCAAGGCCATTGTGGCAGCTGAGGTGCAGAGCCACTAGCAGGCAGTGAGGCTGAGAGACAGCTTTCAGCAGGGTGTCAGATGCTTCCCAGGGCAGAGCCAGTGCCTGGAATGCAGCAGAGTACTCAGGCCTTGGGCAAGTTTAGACACATGTTGATGCATAATACAAGATGGAGCCTATCACTTGATATCAGACTCTTCCAGTCAGTCACCAGGTTGGGTAAACATGCATGCCATGCAAAATAGGAGGTAATGTAACTACCAAATCAGTGTGATATGGAAAGTTTTTTTGTAATTCCTGGTTGACTGTTCCATTGTAAAGGCATTCTATGGGGCACGGATGTTGAGTAAAGGACAAGCACCACAAATAAAACCATGGCATTATTTTGGGAAAAGGGAATGAGGGCAAAGTAAAGAGGAAAATTAAAAGATGCCATCTACAGAAGGCACAATAATGCAACACAGAAACTATCTGATAGGAATAATTTCAGTTTCTTCTGCATTTGATCAGTTTATGGCCTGGGTGGTTCAAAGTGTAAGACTGGAATCTAGGAGGTCTAGATTTTCTTCATACATTCCCACCTGCTGGTTCATTCTACAGCCCCAAAACTTAAATATTTTTAAAGGGAAAGGCAACCCAAAGGTGAAATGAAAAAGGAGCAACATTTACACATAGAAAAGGTGACTTGCATTGACATACAACCCTACTGTTTCCTTCCCACAACAAGTGTGTAAGGAATTTGGTGCCCCAGGCAGGCTTCAAGCAAACCAGGCCATTCTCCCTGGGCGTGCAGGAGGTCCTTTCTCATTGCAGACCTCTTGTGACCAGGGGCGAAGCGCACCGCAGTGCAGGCTATGGGTGGAGGAAGAGACCAAGCCGTCCCGAAGGCTAGGCATTACAGTGCCTAGCAATACACTGAGCCTTGGAGGAAACTCAAGAACACACTTGTCCTGGATGGGAGAGCTCGTAGGGACTGGTCTTTCCACTGGAGGAGACTGTGACAGCCTGAGGACAGGCAAGGGGCAAGGCTACAGGAGAGCTGTAGAGCCTCGGGAGGATCGCGGGGCTCTGGAGCTGAGCACCTGGAGCAGGGAGGGGGGCGACGGGGAAGAGGGGCAGCGGCAGATGTGAGGGAGGGTGCGTACAACCCGAGATGCAGAGGAGGCTGAACTAGGGGGAGAGGTCCAAGGGTCAAGTAAGGCCTCGGGGAGCGAGTAGCGGGTCGTGCCGCGGGTCCCCCAAGGATGGCTGCAGCAGGAGCCGGCTGTGGCGAGTGCCAACCCGCGGAGCACCGGGCTTATGTCCCCGTGGGAATGAGGGCGGGCGCTTCCCGCGGAGGGAAGCCTCACCCGGAGGGCGGTGGCTCCGGCGGGGGAGGGCCGGGGGTGCGGGGCGGTGCCGGGCACAGGAAGCGGAAAGCGGCGGCGGCGGCAGCAGCGACGGCGGCTGCCGCCGGGGAAGGTGGCGGGGAGCGGCGCGGCGGGTCGGTGCCGGGAGCGGCATGGGGCGGCCGCGGGAGAGAGGTGAGTCTGTCCGTGCGTCCGTCCGTGCATCCGTCCGTGTGGGGTGCAGTGTAGGGTGCAGTGTGGGGGGGGGCCGCCGCCGCTGCCCCCACCACGCCCTCCCGCCGCTGGGACCCCGCCGGGGTGCCCGGGGCGGCGGGGGCAGCGCTGGGGCAGCCTCGCTGCGGCCGCTCCTGGCGACAGGGCTCCGTCCCCGGCCGGGCGGTGGGGGCTGAGAGCCCAGGTAGGCTCCGGGGATGCTGGCGGCGGGGGGAGCCCACCGCGTCCCCGCTCCCGCTGCCCGGAGGTGGAAGGCGGGCGGGGGCGGCCGCCGGACCTCCCTCCTGCCGGCCGGGGCTGTGCCCCTGCCCGCCGTGGGGCTGCTGGGGCGGCGGGTCCCGGCCCTGGTACCGCGGGCGGGAGGGATCCCGGCATCCCGGGATAAGCGCTTCGGTGCCGGCGAGGGCTGTGTGCTTAGCCCCGCACAGCGGGCAGCGCTCTCGCTGCCAAGCCTCGCCTGGGAAGGAGCCCGTGCGCTGTGAATGCGCCAAGACGAGTGGATCCACGCTGGGGTGAAGGCTCTGCTGAAGGATGTCTTGCCTGCCCACGTGTAAATCAAACTGCTCCCTGTCTGGGCTCATCCTGCCGGGCAGCACGGGAGGAGGGGGCAGAAGTGACCGGCGGAAAGGCAGGCGTGCTTTGGAGAGCTGCTGTGAAATAACATAAGGTTCGCGTTTTTCTTACTCAGGAGACTGTCAGGGTGCTAAACTAACTCCAGGCGCTGAGCTCTGTCTTGCAGGATCTGTGAAAGCATAACTGACTGGATGGCAGGATTTTCACTCTGGGGAGGCAGGCTTAGCGATTCTATTACTGTTTGAAGCAGTGGGGGTTTTTTGGCCCTGGGTTTGTCAGTAACAAATTGCCCACAAGATTTGTGCAGCTATAAAGAGTTAAGAAACCAAGTCACGCTGCCTGGAAGTGCAAATTAGGATGTTATGGAGCATATTCTGTGATATCATTGTCTGTGAGTTCATCTTGACTTTGAGGAGGAGAGTTGTGAAGAGAGCTTCAGGGGTGCTTTGCTGCCTTTGAAGAGCTTCATTTTGACCATGCTTGGCTCTCTTCCTCCGTTGGGATTTGGCTGTTTAACTGGCCGCAACTACGAGACCAGTGTTGGCTCGGTGATCATTTCAGTTGTTAATTTTGAAAAATAAATGTGAATAGAGTCTTACAGAAAGCCTCCCTTAAAAATGTTCCCTGTGAGCTGAAATTTTGGAACAATCCCAGGCTGTATTGGAACCACCCAGGCAAGTATCTAACTGCCCACAGTCACTGACCAGCAGCTCCCAGTGGTTGCTGCTGACCTTTTCATTTTGGTTAGTAGTGGCAGTGTACCTGATGGCTCTTATCTTATGGACATGTCCACCTGGAGAGGGCTTACTGTCACTAGGAGACTGGGATACAGTACTAGGAAAATGCTACCGAGATCTAGCAAAACTGCATGTCATGTTGTTGTTGTAGCCTGCCTTCCTCACACCCCCACCTCTGACACCAATAACAAAGAATGGAATGAGAAATGTGGCTTTGCAGCAGGGCTTGTTGTGCTGTGTGGGGACCTGAGAGGCAGGCCTGAGTGGAGAACTGTGACATCTGGTTCTGCTGGTAGGAAACAGTAAGTGTCATACTTCTTTGTATTTGGTATCCTCACTGGGAAGAAGCAAATGAATCCATGTGGAAACTATCTTAGAACTTCTTTTAATTTCTCATTAGACTGTACATCAGAATTTTCTGGCTTGGGTCAAATTAAAAACCAGCAGTTATTTCCTCAGGGGTCAACACCTTTTCCTTTTCTCCTTGCAAGGACAGAATGGATTGGCTTTGTACAGGTTTGAACAGAAGGAGGGAGAGAGAGAAAGAGACTCATTACTGTGGAGTCCCACTGTGCTGTGTACTAGAGATTTGATTAGAGTCTGTAAACTCCTTTTTCATTCTAAATTCAAATAGAAAATTCAGGCAGATATGCAGTATCCTAAAGGGGAAGGGGTGCTCCTTCAGTAGGTGCTGCTTCTGCAGTTTATAGCCTCTAATGCTATCTCATTGTCTTAGTGCTGTGGCTAAAAGTAAGCTTTGAAAAGGAGGCACAGGTGCTGCCTTGTCTGAAGTGTTTTGCGAGACTCTTTCCCTGTTTGTTTCAGTAAGGGTGTAGGGCTTTAAGTGTCAATATGGAAAACTATTCCTGTGCACAGTCCCAGGTGCTGCTCTAGTATGAGGGTGAGGCCACAATACCTTCTGTCATGTTGCATGGCTCTGGGATTAAGAGGTGCACTTGAAGATCTAGCAACACAGGAGAGACGAGGGTGAGGAAGTGCAGGCTTTCACCAGTCTGACACGATGGCACACGAGGTATAATTTGCATGATAGACTTGAATGCTCGTTGTGCTTCAGAAACTTGGACAGCACAGATGTGGCTCTTGGAGTGGGCAAAGGACATCCTCCCGGGAAGTGCTGCACTGATGGATCACACATAAGAGAGCTTCCCAACTTCCAGTGTGTAACAGGGGGGCAAGAGGCAGAAACACTGCTCTCTTGGGTGGTGGTTTTGCCTGGGTATTTCTCTTGTCAATTGAAACAGCCTTGCTGGGTTTTCAGACCTGTGTTGTTGCATGTTCTGATTAAACATGCAGGTGGATAAATAAACCAGGTGACTTTTCTTTTTGAAATATCCACGTCATGGACTAATGATTTTCAACCTAGGGCTAGAAATTCCGAGGGGTCTGTAAAGTCTTTTTAAAGAGTTTCTAGAGAACCTATTGCTAGAGGGCTTGGATTTGCTGACTACTACATTTTATTTTCTGTTTTTAGGATGAGGGGCTTGCAAATCAAGAGCCATCACTGCAGAGTAAAAGGCCGAAATTAACCTTATTTAATGACATGCAAACATAAATAGGAAACTTATGTAAGAACCTCGTTTCCCCGAAGTTCGTTGGCCATTAAAACTGAATCTCTTGGCTCTGCAAGTAGATTACCATGGGTGAACTTCTGTGCTTACAGATCAAGTTGCTGGATTGGGGCCTGCTCAGGAAGTTCAAAAGCAAGAGGTTCCTGTGGCATTGCTCATAGGTCTTACTATATATGCAGTTGAACGCAGCAAGTTACGCAACTTCTCGTTTTGCTGAAGTGAATAATGGGAATACGCTGCAGCAGTACCGTGCAGCCAAGATAGTGCCAGCATTCCCCACTGCTTACCCGTCTTTTCATTGTTTTTACTCTTGAATCCTAACGCTGTCCCATAGCTCAGCGCTTGAGGTTCCGTGTGTTTAATTTGCAAAGCTCTGCGTTCCACTAAATGAAGAAAAGAGATTTCTCGGCGCGATAGCTCATGGGCATCCATTACCCTACAGACAGCTGGTGCTGTTTAACAAGCGAGGCTGACAGCGCTTGGAGCCGAGTGTGCGCACATCCTCACAGACACTTGTGGCTGCTTGTGCTCCAGATGGCACTTCCAAATACATGTAACTTCATGAACCGGCTGGTAAATCAACTCTAATTGATTGCAAGTTTTAAACTGAGTAAGATTGAAACTGTGCAGACAAGGATTTCAAAGATGAGATGGTTTGGAGTTATTTGCCTCAACTTCACAGGGGAAAATCTGTTGGGAAAGCATGGGATGTAAAAGAGTGTTCTTGTTCGTGTTTGCTCTCTTTGATTTAAAGATGTAACTTGCTCTTTCAAATTTCTCTTGGGCTGAGTGCCAAACTGTGCTCCCTTGAAGACGATCACAAAGCAGACTTCGTTGGAAACGGGATTGGGCTTCCAGCATGGAAAATAGCGATTCAAAAGAACTCTTCTTGAGATTTATGAGCATATGAAAAGAGGGAGTTACAACGAGTTCTGTAGCTGTTAGAAACTGTAATTACAGTGGTCTCTGCGGTATTCGGGGGTAACTCCATTTCTTCACTGTTGTGCAGGATGCAGCAGTCCTCCTTGTCAGGACAGGGTCACAAAATTCCCTTTGGAGAGTCCTTACCATTGTTTTCCGTCTAGTACTTGGCCTCCTTCTGTTATCAGTGAGTAAGGGAAAGGCAGAGTGAGAGTGCTGGCCCCACTGGGAGCAGAGTGCTGGGTGTGCAGTTATACAATTGTCACGACTGGAACAGATGAGGCATTCCTGTCTCCCCTCTTAGCTGTTCGCTTGTGCTGCTATTCACCCTGGTGTTGGTTTTGATGTTTTGGGCTGTGCTGTGAACTAGGTCACGGAAAGGATCCAAGACAAAAGCGTGGCAGGGGGGAGAAAAGGGATTTTTTGTTTTGTTTTCCAACAGTGCTGTTTGCTTGCTGAGAATTGTGTTGACACAACCGAGAGTGGTGAACCGTGGTGCGGAGGTGGAAGCTACTTACACCAGCTTTCTTGTCAGCCCTGAAATACAGTGCAACTGTACCCTCGGGCCAAAAGAGCTTTGTTTCACGCAGGGCCAGAAGCTCTGCAAACAGGCCATGCCTTCAGTGGAGTCCTGTGAGATGTAATGATCTTTTGTGAAGCCGTTTCAATTGGCTAAATAGGACTCTCAATTCACGCTTGTTTGTGAAGGGATGAGGCCCCAAATGATGGGGTTGCTGCACAGATGTCCTTGCCCAGAGGGGCAGGGTAGGAATCATTAAGTGATTTAGTAGCTTAAAGACTGTACTTACTATGGATATGGTTGTGTTATGAAGGATGCATGTACAGCACAGCTTGTCACTGGAGCTCAGGCTTCAGTAGTGGGCACTATTAGGGTGGTGGCTAATCCAGGATTGACTTCTGTTTATGCCATTGAGAGAGCTTCAACCTGGAGACGTAGTTTAGCGTTAGTTGACTATTGATCCCTTCATTACCTCTTCCACAGTAGTTTCAGAAGCTTTTCTGGGGTAAGGCTGCTCCGCTTTCCTGCTGTAAAATACAGCAGGAGGTGGGTAACCTGCTTGGCTAGGCTATGAGGAGGGTGTGTTTGGACTATGCTCCTCCCTCCTTGGTTTCTTGCTTTCATGCTGCTCAGAGCGTCTAGCTAGTAGTCCAGGCTATTCTTTGTTGAGCTAACCTAGGAAGCCCTTCTTGACAGCCAGCTTTTGTTGGGCACTATACAGTGGTCTTCTGCTTTTTTCAGCTGAGTTTGGGCAGACATATTTTGTTCCTGGCAGCCCTGTGTAAGTGCCTTGGCAGGAATACCTCTTTAGTCCCTGGTGAGTCCTGCGGTCAGGGCAAAGAGGAGGTGCAGAGTCCCTGAGTTCATCGTAGAATCGTTTGGGTTGGAAAATACCTCTAAGATTACTGCTTTTGACGGTGATCCAGGATACTTAATGTTTTTTGGGGGCCGCCTTTTCACAGAGCTGTGTCAAAACCGTTGCTCTTATTTACACAGAAAATGAAAGTTTGCATGATCCAGCCTGCCCTGGCTTTCCTGTGTTGGTCTTCCCGTGCCTGGTGCCCAGCACTGCCTTACTTCACCTGCAGTCAGATGGGCACTGCTTGTTCATGTGTCCTGTCTAGGCAGCCTGTGCATTTCCACAGCAGCCTCCATCTGCTGAAATGTTCTCTGATGCCTCCAGAGAAGTGTGATCCTCTGCTGATTGGGTGAGAGGGGTCAGAAGAGGAGTTCTGTTCCCGGTCCCTGTCTCAGCTCTGATCCTTTTATCTGGAATTTGGGGGGAAAATTCTTTTATGTGGTTAGAGGAAAAGGCTAAGAATTTATACTTTCCTAGAGGCCTATGAAAAATACATAACCCTTACTCATGTGTGCCAGCAGCATTCCTTGCTTTTCCTATTCATATAGTGCAGTGGTATGTATCTGTGAAGATAGTGGTTGTTCTCAAAGGTACCCCAGTAACATCACAAACAGTGATTTAAGGCTATAATACTTGTCACCTTTTGTTCAGCTGAAGGTATTTCTGTTTCTGTAATGCCTAATGACTGCAAAATCCTGTGTAGCTATCTCCTCTGTTGGTATCATAGTGGGGGGATGGTGGCCTCACCCCCACTTATCAGAACACAGAGGAAAGATTTTTCTCTGGTTGCCAAGCAGGACAGTAGAGGTAAAAATCAGCTTTAATGAGTCCCAGCCTATTGCTGGAGCCATAAGCTACAGGGTTTGTGCAAGTCTAGGGAGTTAACGAGTGTTAACATCACATCCTAGGCTGAGGGATTTTTATTCTTGTTACAGTAATGATGCCGTTTTCCAAATTGTGCTGTGCCTTGGCTTTATATTTCACTGTGTTTAAATCCATCCTCATTCTTTTCCTCCCAAAACCAGGCCTTAGGTTCCCATCTGTATTTTTCCTTACTATATTCTCTGCTGCCTTTAGGTTTTCTGAAGGCATGCTAGATACACCCTTAAAGAATTCCGGTACACAAAAGATCCCCAAGGCCGCCTCCTTTCCAAGAGCCCTGGCAAGCCCAAGTGTTGTGCAAATACCTGCAGCTCCAGATGCAGGGGGGATGCTGCTTTAGTTCACTGCAGATTCCACCACCACCAGCCAAGGAACCTTGTGGGGAAGAGACTTCGTTCTTTGGCACAGGTTGCAGTGGTAGAGCTCTCTGCTCTGTTATGAGCTTTTCTGGAGGTGTCAGTGGAGGAGTCTTATGGCTGGCAAGAGCAGTTGGCCAAAGCATGATTTCTGTTGTTGTCCCTCTGTCTTTGGGGAAGGAGAGGGCTGAAAGCAGTGGTTGCCTGTTTTATTGCTAGCAGCTTTGAAAAGTGCTGGGAGCAGAAAATAACAGAGGTCTAATTTAACATTAAGTGGTCTTTTGCCCACTCTGAAAGTTTGGTTGTAGTCCTGTGTTGGCTAGAGGCAGCAGTTGTCTGGGCAGAAGGCATGTGAGAGTGCTTCTGTGTGCCAAAGGAATGGTGTGCTGTGCCAAGGTACCTCTGTCCGTTGCTGCACCTCTTCACTTCACTATTAATGTGCATTTCCCCAAACGCTGACTAACTCCCTAACTCCCTTCCATTTCTCTTCTCGCCTAATTCAGGATGGTGGGTTTTGAAAGTGGGCTGGTGTCTACCTTTCTTCCCCACAGGACTCAGGGTTTTTAACATGTTACAGTTGGGAATTGTTCTGATGTTGCTCTGCTCCTGTTCCAAAAAAACATAACCCTCTTCTGCCCTTTACAGATGTGACTTGAGCTACTGTTCCAGATGGAAGTACAGTGTAAGAAGTGTTGGCCCATATAAGCTAGATGTGATCTCTAATCAACTCTCCCCAGTGTTATTAGTATGTGTATATATAGAGATGATTTTTAATAAAGTTGAATTCTTCGAGGCCCAAATTAGCTTCTGGAGGCAAAGGTTGTAAAGAGAGGGAGGTGTTCACTGTGCCATTGATTGTACAGCAGCTAATGCTTGTATAACGGGCACACCTTGCAGTTGTGAAAACAAAGCAGGTTCAGGCATGGTGGTCTGATCCTCCCCTGCATTTCTCCTAGGAAAGTGGCCCCCCCTGCCCTTTCCCCTATATATAGGCTGTAATGCTGCCATTCTGAGTCTGGGGTTATTTGGGCTGTGTGTTACAGAGGTGAAGAGATGGGGTGTGAAAACCAAGCCTGGTCTTTTTTCTGTGGGTGGATTTTGGTATTTAGGCTGCTGAGCCTTCTCCAAGTCACTGTCTTTTCCAGGTGACCTAGAGGAATGGTCTAGACTCTGCAAAACAGAGATCCATTGAGTTATTTAAAGCTCTACAAATGCATACATTTCACTAGATCAGAAGAGAGGTATCAACCGGGACAAGTCTGCGAATTGGACACAGTGCGATAAGCAGTGACATGTGGCCAGAGTGAGGGAATTGCTGCAGTAGGAACGATGTCTTGCTTTTCTTCGAGTGCACTTCCATGCCTGTTTCTCTTTTCTTAGGTCAATTGTAAGAAGCCAAGCACCCTTCCTCCCCTCCCCGCTGATCGGATTCCTTTTAAAGTGAAGCTTGCTCAATCTCTGAAGATCAGATCTCACTGATGACTGGGAAAAAAAGAGTACCCAGGAAAGCACTTTTACCACGGACTCCGCCTCAGGAGCACCAGGAACTGACTTTCTAAAAAATATCTGTGCCCCTTCTGTGCATACCCAATGTCTGCTGCAATGGATACAGAATCAACATATTCGGGATACTCCCACTACTCAGGTCACTCCAAAAAAGCTCACAGACAAGGGTAAGGAAATGTTTATTTTTAATTACTTGCTGCTCTAAGCTAGGACATGTCCAGTGGGAAAAAAATTGAAAGCCAGGATAAAATCAGTGGGGCCACAGCTCTGGAGGAGATACAGGTGGAGAGTCCTCATGGGGAACACAGTGAGGAGACTGGCAGCTAACTCAACCTCTTGGATGTATGCTGGGGCTATGTGGGAATAGAAAGATTGGCATTGTGCCAACAGAAGGAAAATATCACTTAACTCTGCTCTTAAAGTGCAAGGGATGAGTACAGTCTCTGGGGAGAAGATGTGTAAGGCTTCCAAAATTGATAATTGCTGGTTGTTTTCTCCTCTGTGCCATTTCTTTATTGTATAATAATAAGGTTTCCTGCTTCTCCCCACCTTTCTCCTGAATACTCTGTTGACAGTGTGTTGATAGTGTGTTGGGTTTTTTTAAAATAAAATTTGAGTGGCATTTGAGTCAACAACAACTCAGCATTGATTGGATTAGATGTCAGACTTTTCTGAACTTGAATAGCAAGTCCTCTCCTGTTGTGGTAGTTCAACAGCCTCAAAATCCATCTGCTCTAAAACTTCTAATTATATGGAAACTTTTTTTTTTTTCCTGCATCATCATTAGTTTTACATGCAAAATGTGTGCCACTTACAGTCTTTTCAACTTGTTACTGAGCTAGTCCAAAGCAATTTTGCATTTTGGAAGCAATTACCCTGTGTGGTTGGAAAAAGAATTCTTCCATGAAATGAAGTCTCTTTACTCACAGTCCAGTTACTGAGTAAAACATTTCTTGTTTGCCTTTTTTCCCTGCTTTAGCACCCCCTGTCCCCAATACAGATTGCCCTTTTAAACGTAGAATGCCATGTGGAAAGATGCCTTCAGAGTTCCAAAAACAACATAAAAATCCTAGAGCCTCTTAGTGTAAACTGAAAGAAGTCTCATCCCATGATACCTTTGGGATTTGGTTATTCCAAGAGAGAGGCAGTGGAGAGAGCAGAACTGGGACACTCACAAGGATTAAGCCAGTCCCTAAGCACAGCAAGGGTCTCTGGTGCAAAGTCTGCTTTCCCATCCATGTGGGAAGGGGGAGGAAAATATTGATGGCAGATTAGTAGGCCTTAATTCGTCTTGAGACATTCTCAGATGAGAAGCTGTGAGGTCTGTGAGGGTGCTCTGAAAGTAAACACTAGCCTGGTACCTTTGATGGTCTTGCTTTCTTTGTAAGAGGTCAGCTTGGGGTTATTAACCACTGGAAATAAACTTCACCAACTGTCCTACAGTGTTAAGGTCATAGATGACAAGACTCAACACTGAAGGAACTAAAGCTGTATTGATTAATTCCTTGTGTTAGCTGTGCATGTCCCCGTGAGACAGTTTATTGTAGGTGGAGAACTGTGTAAACCAGTAGATCCCAAATGGAGTTCCTAGTTGCTTGGAGAATGCAAGGCTGTTTTAAGAGAACGTGAGGTGGTGGGCATGTACCCTTGTCCTCCCCCATCCTATCACTGAGAGGGTAGTCTGTCCCAGCCTCCAGGCTATTATTGTAGGCTTCTCTTGGGACAAGGTTCCTTTCTACCCCTTCTAAAGTGTGTTTTGTTGTAGACTGAGTGAAATGTGATCAAGAGATGGGCAAGCTTGACTGTGACCTAATGCTTAGGGCATCGGTTGCAGGTAGAGGTGTAGCACATTTCAGTAACTGGTAACGTTGTTCTCCTCTTCCACTCTTTGAAAAAAGGAGTCGGGACAGACACAAATCGCCACGAAGCAAAGATGGCAGTCGATCTGAGAAGTCCGTCACTATCCAGACACCTCCTGCAGAGCCGCTCCTTGGGAATGATGCCTCTCGGGCAGAGGAGGGCCAGGTAAGGAGCTTGTGAAAGCAAACATGGAGTGTGTTTTGTGGAGCAGAACACATGGCTTACTGGCTCACAAGTAGGAAGAAAAGCATTGCTTGCGTGCTGTTTAACTGGTACCCTTAATTCGTGCATAAAGCCAAGGTCTCGAGCAGTTTTGTCTTTTTCTGGGAGCATTGTTTTTGACTGCACCGGTGCTGATGTGACAACTCCTTGGGCACTAATTTGCCTCTGTCTTCAGAGTGTCATCTGCCAAACTCTGTAGAAACATCTGTTTCTGTCATCTCACTGTGCATTATTCAGGTCAACCCTTTCCTTTCCACCTGTATGTGTGTTTTAGTTTTTAAGGAGGATTTGCTCTAGGTATTCATGTAAAGTACGTTAGAATCAGAATTCCAATAGGGAAAGAAGTCAGGAACTATAAAACTAGTGTGAAGTAGCTGTGAAGGAGGGTGAACTTGGAACATGGAGTTTAATAAAGACTAGAATATGCTGCATTTACATTGTACCTAGGATGAATTCAGTGTTCTTTCTGCTCTACTAGTCAATGTGAAGGTACATGTTCATTTTCAAAGAATGGCTGATGCTGCAAGACGTAAAATGCAGGATGTTTCAGTGCCTCCTAGCTGGATTTAAGGTGTGTTAAATCTTGGTTGTGGGGTTCCACCTCTGCCTTTAAAAAAAAAACACTGTTGTCCAGTTTCCACCCAAACTGGTACTTTAACAGCATTCACGTAGCTGCTGGCGTGCTCACTTCATGTGCTGGTATTTTGTAATCAGATGATTGTTTTCACAAGTCCCAGCTATTATTTCAAATAGTTTTAAAGGTACTGGTGAATTTTTAAGCTCTTGTTTTCATGCAGTACTCCTCAATTAAAGCCAAAGCAAAATAATTGATGCATGAACCAGACTTTTCTCCTAGGGAGCAGAGTGCTCTGAGTTAGGTCCAACAATAAGATTTAGACTTGTATTTCCTCTCCTATGAGGAAAGGCTGAGAGAGGTGGGGTTGCTCAGTCTGGAGAAGAGAAGGCTCTGGGGTGACCTTATTGTGGCTGAAGGGAGTACCTTCCAGTACCTGAAGGGAGTATACCAGAGAGCCAGAGAGAGTTTTTACAAAGGCATGTAGTGATAGGACAAGGGGGAGTGGTTTTAAACTGAAAGAGGACAGGTGTAGATTGGATATTAGGAAGAAGTTATTTACTGTGAGGGTGGTGAGGTAGTGGAACAGGTTGCTCAAAGAGGTTGTGGATGCCCCATCCCTGGAAGTGTTTAAGGCCAGGCTGGATGGGGCTCTTGAGTAATCTGGTCTAGTGGAAGGTGGCCCTACTTATGACAGGGAGGTTGGAGATAGATGATCTTGAAGTCCTTTCCAACCCAAAGCATTTTACGAGTCTATGGTTTCCATATAATTGCATGATTTTGCTTATGCCACTTGTAGTGGGAAGAGTTATAAGCGGAACACTGTGACTTTTGCCTGTTGTCTTCTGGGATGTAGCCTTAAGCTGCTCTGGTCCTTCCTTCTGTCCCTTCTCTTTTCTGCACAATTTTGCAGCTCATCAAATGGATGAAACCATGCAGAACTATTTAATGCATAAACATAAAATAATTGAAATGCTTAAACTGCTTTACTGGCAACACTGGCAAAGAGAGAAATGTGGTAGGAATATGCTGCTTTTCAGGACATACTACAATGCAGATATCTGTTCTGGAGCCTCTGCTTTGGTGAGGAGTGACTCAAAAAGCCTCTCATATTAATTCAAGATGCTGACTATTTGTGGTTGGTCTGTCTCAAAACCCTACTGCTCTAGGCATGGGAGGTATTCATGTCTTGGAGTGCATTAGAAGTTAAATCCCTGGAGTTGTTCAAAGTAGATCTGCTGCTTCAGTTCTATTCCTTTCCCAAAGACTATTGGAGACTCTTTCCTCTAACTCTTAAAGAAGTGAATAAAGGTTTAAAATGATGCCTGTGTCTTTTAAAACAGATTGTTTTGGTCAGCATTTATAGTTGCAGAAGTTTGGGAGGAGGTGTAAATCCTGTTAATGATACAGGCTACAGGAAGATACACTGAGGAGGGTAGGAGGAAAAGAAAAAACATGTGGTTCTGAATGAGCATTGCATCTAAAAAGGTGTCAGGTGCCAAGCAAAAAAAGCACAAGCCTTACCACTCTTTGGTGTGCATTTGTGGGAAGCATCAGGAGTCTTCATGTGCATGAGTCACTCCAGCAGCAGCTGTGAGTCAAATCCATACATGTCAGTGTGTAATTCTTTGGCTCTGCCAGCAGCAGGAAGGAGCAATTGGAGGCATCGTGGGATGGGAGAACCAGCTTGCAGGAGTTCTCTGATGCTAGCTAGGGGAGAAATGAGACTTTCAGAAAACGTAATGTAATCTGAAACTTGCCTATGTGGTGACTGTATTTCAGGTAAGCTTCTTTGTGGATAAGTGGCTTCTGACAATGTCCTGGATTGTAATACGAGAGCTACTTGGCAGTCTAGGATCCTCTAAACTTAAAAGCTCTGTACCTGAAAATATCCTCTGTAATTTGTTGGTTTAACTAAACTTTTATTATACTGTGAGTTATTGAGGGCAGTACTACTGTAGAGGAGAATAAAAGACAGTGAAGTGGAGGAACTTGCTGGAGGTGTGGTTGCTTCTGTTACGGATGGAAAAATAATGTGTGAACATGTTTTTGATTGTGTAACAACAACAACTGGCTTGAAACACTGAAATGAAAATTTCCCTTCCAGGTGCTTTTGTGGTGCACTTGCACCGCAGAATTTGTGGGCTGGAAGAATGCTAGTCCTTGCCCTGGACATGGGAACTGATGATTACTACAGTTTCCAAGACTTATGTCATGTTACTTGTTAAGTGTGCTGGAAGAGGAACCTCTGGGGTACAGTGAGTGGCACAGCAAGCTGAGCTACCTGCTCTACAGTTACGGGTTTTTAACACCTAATGTTTACAGTCACTGGTTTGGACAGGGTGGTGTTCTTTCCAAACCTTTGATAATTGTCAGAGTTGATTATTCAATATATTGAAGGTGTCGATTTTGCTATATATTTTTTCTGGGACTTAAGGCTGTCATAGTAATCATTCCGGGCAAGAAAAATGGAACACCTGGAAGGAATAGCCTGATTGTTTCAGTGTTATTTTTATTTGTCTTTTCCTCCCTCAGGATGACAACTGGGGTGAGACCACGACAGCAATCACGGGCACCTCCGAGCACAGTATTTCCCAGGAGGACATTGCCCGGATCAGTAAGGATCTAGAAGACAGCGTTGGGTTGGACTGCAAACGTTACCTGGGCTTAACAGTGGCAGCTGTTCTTGGACTCCTAGTCTTCCTTACCCCCATTGCCTTCATTCTGTTACCCCAGATCCTGTGGCGAGATGATCTGGAGCCGTGTGGTACTGTCTGTGAGGGACTGTTCATCTCTGTGGCATTTAAACTCCTCATTCTTCTGATTGGGACCTGGGCTCTTTTTTTTCGCCAACCCAAGGCAGATCTACCAAGGGTGTTCGTGTTTCGGGCCCTTCTGCTGGTCCTCATATTCCTCTTTGTGTTTTCCTACTGGCTCTTTTACGGCGTTCGCATCTTGGACTCGAAGGACACCAACTACCAGGGAATCGTGCAGTACGCGGTGTCTCTGGTGGACGCCCTGCTCTTCATTCACTACCTGGCCATTGTGCTGCTGGAGCTGCGGCAGCTGCAGCCCGTGTTCACTGTCAAGGTGGTTCGGTCAACGGACGGAGAGTCGCGATACTACAGCTTGGGACACCTGAGGTAGGTACAAGCCCTTGAGGTCCAGTGTCGTAGATGTGTGACTGTGCTGTAGCGCAAAGCAGCAACTGCTGCTGAGTGTGTGGTATCACTGGTTTCTGAATCTTCCCCCAGAAGAATCCTGGAGTTCCTCCGAAGTCACTAAACTGAACCTCTCTTCCCTTCTTTGAGCATGGGAGAGGCTGTCCCGGCTTCAGAGTAGTCCTGTGTGTTCCTGCAAGTGCAAAGAGTTGATGTCACAACCTTAAGATGGTCGTTGGGCTACGCCTGATGAGATCTTTAAAATCCTTCTCTGGGCTTCTTACCTTGTCTCCTTACTGGAGAGAAGTGGAGAGCTGCGAGTCTGGCTTGTGCTTTGTGGTTGCACAGGCCAGGCTCTGCTGTGAGAGCAGCCCTTCAGGCTGTGCAGACCATAACTCAGAGCCCCCTGACTGCAGGCCAGTCTGTGTGGCACGGGCTGAAGGAAGAAGTTAGTGTCCCTGTGTGAGAAAGCATTCAGCAATCTAATGTGCTGTTGGAAATGTCCATTTTTCCTCATTGCCCTGTGCAGCCAAGACCCGTGCTAGGAATCTGTGGAAAGGTCCCTTGGTTCAAGTCAAGTGTGGTCGTTTGGATCATGTGTGCCTTTTGTGGCCAGTTGAAACACTTGTGTTCAGGGGTTTGTGCTTTGAAGCCTGTTACTGTGACAGGCTAGGGCTACCTTGAAGGGCTTTGCCAGGTAGCAAATGGGATCTGAAGGCTGATTCCAGTGACTGGGGGCTCTTTCCCTGCTTCTAAGACTGGCAGTGTTTTGCAGTTTTGTTTGGCTTGAGGTAAATAGTGTTTAGTTCTGTTAAAGCAGTTGCTTTGGTGCAGCCGAAGTCTCCCAGCACTTCAGGCATTTAGCAGTAATATTTTTAATGACCATTGAGGCACATGTGGATGCTTTTTTTGGCAGTCCTGTGCTGCTCCTGGCTTGGTTTTGTAGCATGATGCTCTTTTTGTCATTAGGTATGGATCAGTTTGTCATTAGGTATGGATCAGATGTATCTTGGACTGTCTGGGAGCTGTGCAATACCTGTAGGTACAAAACATGCATGCCTGCTTCCACTGTCCTGCTGGTGCTAGTGCTTCCCTCAGCAATGGTGCAAGGAAGGACAGTGTCTCAATCTCCTTAGTTCCTGTGTCCTCTGAAGCATTCCAGAAATCTCTTAGTTCCTGCGTCCTGTGAAGCTGAGCTCTGAAGATGATTCCCCAGACTGTGTGTGCACTTAAACATCTGTTCTGCTTATCCTGTCCAGACCCCTATGGCATGCGTATCTGTGGCAGATGAAGAGATTAGCATCTGCTGGTTTAAGTGGATGTAGGAATAGTCTCCTGCAGCCATTAGTTTAGCAATGGAATTGCTTTGAAGCAGATTTAGTGGTTGAAGCTCAAGTCTGGGAGCTGACTCCTGGATATTGTTTCTGGCTTAATGGAAGAACTCGAGGCCTTTTGGATGAACTAGGTCTGGACTCTCCTGTATTTTCCTTCTCTGTTAAATGTGAAGGAGAGTCCTTCTTCTGTAATGGAAGTGCTCCCATTGATTTAATGAAAGGTCACTTTCAGGATTTCAAAAATAAACTCTGGTTTTCCTGTGAAATCATTTATTTCTTTTTAATTTCATTCTTCTGTGGTAAGTGATCCAGCATAGCTTTTAAGACTAGGAAAATGGAGAGATGACTACCAAAGAGTTCCTCTGTGCCACAGCTTTGTGCCTTGAGGTGTGATGAGGCAGTTCTCTAAGAAGTGCATTCTGCAGAGAAATCTCAGTATGGGTATGTATATACCTCTATAATACACACACAGTGTGCAGGTTTGGTTTGAGAGACTTTGCTGGTTGCTTGGTGGTAGATTGTGGGTTTGTGTTGAGAGGAATTGAGAACCAATGCCTGCAGAAGTCTGCATGTCATGTGAGATGTTTATATGAAACATGAAAAATATGTGAACTTTTGAACATCTTTGCAGCATAATTTTGCAGAGTTTCCGTGAAGGTCTTGATATGCTTGTTGAAATGTCAGTCAAGGTCACAGGGGGCTGCCCTGTGCTTCTGTTTGAGTCTCTGGCTGAGGCATGGGGCTGGAATGGGGAGTTTGTGGATGCATAAGTGTGGAAACACACAAGGACAGTTTGGATTTCTGGAAGAATGGAGAAGCAGGTTTGTGGCTGTGATGGAGAGGTGGTTCTAACTGTTGTGGAGTAGGCATATACCACTTATTGCTGCCTTTGGGCTCTCTTAGCTACCATGCATGCTTGCCTCATCCCAGCATTTTTAAAGGGGTCTCGGAGAGGTCCTGAGCTGCCACACGGAAGGAAGAAGCATGCTTTAACAGGTGTAGCAGTCTGACTGTCTCATGAAATCAAAACCTTTTGTCTCTTCATGCTCTCAAATATCCTATAAGTTTTGCTCACTGACAATCTATGGAGTTTGCCTTCCTCAGTGTCCAGTGTGCTCCAAAGAAGCGGGTGGTGAGAAGGGTCTTGAGACATCTTATCTTGTTCAGTGTTGCTTCTTAGAGTAGCTCTGTTTGTTGCTTTTTTTTGTTTGTTGTTTTTTGTGGTTTGGGTTTTTGTTTGTTTGTTTGTTTGTTTGGGGTTTTTTGACAGGAAAATTGTTAATATCAACCTTTTTAGTCCAAGATGGAAGCTTTCCCAATTCTAGGTCTTTCTGATGAGGCAGAGGGAGCTGATGTGGAAGTATGAGGACAGCATGCTTTCTGGGAGAGAAAGAAAGGAAACAATAGCTCAGCCGCCCTTCTGGCAAACTATGTTTTTGCGAGGCAGGGTACAGACAGGATTTTCCACCCTTCCTGGCTCCAAATGCAGTAAAAAAAGTTGAAAGTGCTGAGTTAGGTATTCCACTCCACGCCCGAGGGCCCTAGGTCCAGGAGGGTAAAGCATATTTGGGAGTAGTTCCCCAAATTCATATTATAATCAGCCTATTAATAGGCTGGCTTGGTCCCACCCCCAGCACTTTGGCTGTAACTTTTCTTCTGGGAGACTTGACTGCCAGAATGATCGTTCCCTTTGGCATCGATTCAGGAGCTTGAAGGGGGAGTTAAAAATTAAATAGGAGTCCCAATGAGTGTGGTGCCAAGTCTCAGCTCACTGACTTCTCTGCTGCTCCTGGTAGGAAGGGTTGTCGTGCAGGGCAAATGCTTTATGGTAGTATGTATGGATAAAGAGCAGGGAGCAGTATATATTCAGGAAAGGTCAAGCCTGGGAAAATGCCAGAGGTTGGGTGAGAATGCTGTCTCTATACTTTTGAAAGCAACAACAAAGGGAAACAAAGGTGGGGGAGCACAACAGCAGATAACTTTTCCCTTTAAAAGCTGATAGTTTTGCAGGCTGAGGCCCGGATTTGCAGCTGAGGCTTCAGTTTGTCCCTACATATAGGGACTCTGATGCCTGTCATCTGCAGTTCAATACCTGTCTGTACAGCTCAGAAACTAAGTAGGAAAGATTTTGCTGGAGAAAACCCTCCTTTTCTGTAGTTAGGGTGCAAAACATATTCCTTTCCTCTCCAGAGAAAACTCTTTCCCCACCCTAGAGCTTTGCTAGTCTAGACAGCTCAAGAAAATGAATGGCTTGTAACACGTGGTAATTACTGATCTTACATGTTTCTGAAAGTTGGGCTGCAGTAGGATCTTGATTTTTCTGAGGTTAGAGATGTCTGAGAGTGGGTCCTCCTCCCTTTTGCTCATCCTTGCAGCAGGGATATGAGAAGCAGGGCCACGATACTTCATCTTGTTTGGGGCTGTGTAAAAGTACTAAGAGCTTTGTTGGTCTGTTTCTCTGTTTTTTGTGGTCTAAACCCAGCTGGCAACTAAGTACCACTCAACTGCTCACTCACCCCTCCGTCCCCACCTCACTCTGTACCATGGGGACAAGAATCAGAAAAGAATATAAAACCTGTGGGTTGAGATAAGAACAGTTTAATATTTTAAATAACGTAAAATGTAATACTAATCATATTATTAAAAAATAAATTGTAATGAAGAGGGGGAGACAGAAATCAAACCCAAGAAAGGCAAAGTGATGTACAATAGAGTTGCTCTGTACCCACTGACTGCTGCCCAACCTATTCCTGAGCGGCAATCTGTGTCTCCCAGCCAGTCAGTCCCCCCAGCTGATATGATGTTTTATGGTATGAAATATCCCTTTGGCCAGTTTGGGTCAGCTGTCCTGACTATGCTCCCTCCCAGCTTCTTATGCAATTCCTAACTGATTCAGAGCAGAGCATGGAAAATGAAAAGGCCTTGACTTAAAGTAAGCACTACTTAGCAACAACCAAAACATCAGTGTACTCAGAGGAAAATTAACTCAATCCCAGAGAAAGCCAGGACACTGTCCTCCTTTCTGGCATGGGCTTGCCTTTATGAACCAGCTGGTGGGTAAGCCTCTGTATGCCTTTGGAATCAGAGTATAGCTTTTGCAGATAGATGTCTGTGAGCTGGTTGATGCTCTATCAATCTAATCAAGAGATGTTTGATACTCAGAAATAGCAGTTCTGTATGGTAGAAGTATTCTTGAGAATTCCCTGTACCCCTGTTACCCATCTCCATTTGTGTGGATGTTTGCTGAACTGTGGTTTAAAAATTCAGGAAAGGAGCAGGTGCTTCCTCAAAATAGGTACCTGTCTGAAAAGCCTGTACCTTCCCTGCAGGAACTACCAATACCTTATTAGAAAACTAGTGCCTTGCACAAACTCTCAAGAGAAAGTAGACGCAGGCATGTTCTCTGGAAGGGGAACACATTCAGCCTGTCTCCCAACTGAACTGGAGGCAGCAGAGTAGCTGTCTCTTAGATGGTGCATGAGCCCTTACCTTAAGACACCCCAGAACTGAAACAGAATTGCATGATGGAAGGTGATGCCGCTTTAGACCCAGCTCCTTTGGGTTTTATTTGTTGAACCCTTGCTTAGAAAACTCTAGGCTGTGAGTATTTACTGATTTAATCTGATGTGTGCTCTCTTGTCAGTGTCA